GCCTCTCCACACCCTGTCCTATTCTCCCCCGCAGGTTGCTGGGAGAAAAACGGCAGGAGCTGCAGGACCAAGCCAATAAGCTGCGGACAGGCTTGTTCAAGATCGATGAAACTAGGGAAAAGGTACAAGTGATGTCGTTGGAGCTGGAAGATGCCAAGAAGAAGGTGGCCGAGTTCCAGAAGCAGTGTGAGGAGTACCTGGTCATCATTGTGCAGCAGAAGCGGGAGGCGGACGAGCAGCAGAAGGTCGAGGGCCCACCCGCACCCCCCCGTGCCTCACTCCCACCAGTGCTGGCTACTGCATCAGGGAACCCATGTTCCCCTTCTTAAATTTTCTTTAGTAACTGGGCGCAGTGGCTCACGCCTGTAATCCCAGCACTTTGGGAGGCTGAGGCAGGTGGATCACCTGAGGTCAGGAGTTCGAGACCAAATTGGCCAACATGGTGAAACCCCATCTGTACTAAAAATACAAAGATTAGCTGGCCGTGGTGGAGGGCGCCTGTAATCCCAGCTACTCGGGAGGCTGAGGCAGGAGAATTGCTTAAACCCTGGGGGAGGAGGTTGCAGTGAGCCGAGATTGCACCACTGCACTCCAGCCTGAGCGAAAGAGTGAGACTCCATCTCAAAAAAAAAAGAAAAAAAAAATTATTTAGCTTTCTCTTTCATCTTTTCCACCAACACCGTCACTCCCACTTTTGCCCAAGGCAAAGACAAAAAACCTTTGCCCTTTTTTCATCCCTAGGCCGTAACAGCCAACAGTGAAAAGATTGCAGTTGAGGAAATCAAGTGTCAGGCACTGGCTGACAATGCCCAGAAAGATCTAGAAGAGGCCCTGCCTGCCCTGGAAGAGGCCATGCGGGTACCAGGAGTGGGTGCAAGGATGGGAGCCAGGAGCGCGAGGCCCCAGGGAAGGGAATGGGCCAGCCTTCTTTGTCCTCAAAGACTCTGGGGAAATGGGAAGAAGAGGTGGCACCTCAGCTAAGTTCTGTCTCCGTAAGGTCCTGTCTTACCTGCTGAGTTGCTCCCTCACTTTATCCCTTTTTCCTCCAGGCCTTGGAGTCTCTGAACAAGAAGGATATAGGAGAGATCAAGTCTTATGGACGGCCCCCAGCCCAAGTGGAGATAGTGATGCAGGCAGTTATGATTCTTCGAGGCAACGAGCCCACGTGGGCAGAGGCCAAGAGGCAGCTAGGTAAGCTAGAGACCATGAAATAAATGATTTCCGCTCGCCCAGTGTTTATTGATTGTCGGCTGTGCAGCAGACACTCAGAAAGATAGGGATGGATGAGGCACTGTTCTGACCCTCAAGAGCACAGGGCCTAGTAGAAAGGAGAGCACAGAACCTAGTAGAAGGGAGACCGTATGAATGTCAGTTAAGGTTCTTTGGTTGCCGGTCAGGTGTGGTGGCTCACGCCTGTAATCCCAAGCTTTGGGAGGGCAAGGTGGGCAGATCACTTGAGCCCAGGAGTTTGAAACCAGCCTGGGCAACATGATGAAAACCCATCTCTACAAGAAAATACAAAAATTAGCCAGGCATGATGGTGCATGCCTGTAGTCCCAGCTGCTTGGGAGGCTGAGGCAGGAGGATCGTTTAAACGCGCAAGGCAGAAGCTGCAGTGAGCCGTGATTGCGCCATTGTACTCTAGCCCGGGCGACAGAGCCAGACCCTGTCTCCAAAAAAAAAAAAAAAAAGATGATTTAGTTGTTACTGGTATTTTCTGACTTTTTACAAAGTTACCTGTTTCTTTTCAACTTAAAAAAAAAAAAAGAAAAAACTACATTTCTGATCACTTTTAGAATTTAATTATTAAATATGAAATTTTGAAAAAGATTATTTGATTGTAAGTAACAGAAAACAGCTCATCTTAATACTGACATTCAGCTTACAATGGTTTGACTTAAGATTTTTCGTCTTTACAATGGTACCCATACAATCATTCTGTTTTTCACTTTCAGTACAGTATTCAATACATTACATGAGATACTCAACACTTTGTTATAAAATGGACTTTGTGTTAGATGATTTTGCCCAACTGTAGGCTTAATGTAAGCTCTCCAAGCACGTCTAAGTTAGGCTTGGATAAATTATGACGTTCAGTAGGTTAGATGCATTAAATTCATTTTTGATTTACCGTATTTTCAATGTATGATGGGCTTATCAGGAGCATCTGTATATTAAACAAAATTGTCCTAAAGATAGAAGAATGGGCCAGGCGCAGTGGCTCAGGCCTGTAATCCCAGCACTTTGGGAGTCTGAGGCGGGCGGATCACGAGGTCAGGAGATGGAGCCCATCCTGGCTAACGCGGTGAAACCC